TGTATGTATGGACCGATGGATGGATGGATATATATAGAAAATGTTCATATGATGTTTTTTTGTTCATATATTTTTTTCATAGGAATTAGTTAAAATTTACCAAGTTAAAATGTTCATATATTCAAAATGAGTTAAAAGACTCACTAAGTTAAAATTTACCCCCTCCCCGATAACTTCGACATGAGGCGGGACGTCGGACATGCATGAGAGAGGCGGTCCGCTCGCCCGACCAACTCTTGAGGTCACCCAAATCCTAGACGAAGAAAGAGCGTTGTCGATCTACCCCTTCTCGCCCCTACCCGTAATTGTTATGTTCATAGCTATTATTTTCTGCAAAGTGTCCTCTCCTGAAAGTATAACCCTGATAATTAACCTCTCCATGACACCGATGGTCAGGAAGGAGATGACAATGGCTCCGGTGATCCATGAATGGAGGAGGAAGGAGATCATGATGGCTCCGGTGACCGAATGGCGGAGGAAGCAGACCATGATGATGATTCCGGTGACTGAACGGAGGAGGGAGCTGTTGCAAAGTACAGCGAGGTATATATATTAATTAAGCCTGTACTGACTTGATGCATTAATTGTTTTGGTATGTACATATATTAACGCTTCTTTCTTCTTTTATAGCCCTCCGGATCCAGCCAAACTTCCATAAGGAGGCAAGGCCCGGAGAAAAGGTTGCGCCAGGATGAAAGGTTCACGATAAAAAAATCATGAAAAATGGCCAACCGATTACTCCCACGGACCAAGGACGCATTTGTACATCAGTGTAGAGTTGTTGTTAGGGACAGCGTCCCGATCAATGTCGTGCAATGGAATAAGAGTAAGGACGACCCTGAAGTATCTTATGTCCAGGATAGACAGAAAGATGACCTTTGGACCTGGCTTATGACAAATTTCAGCCTCCCTCCAGAGGAGGAGCCGAATAACCCAGTTATAGAGCCAAAGGTCAAGGAGTATGCTCTTAAGAAGATGGTAGAACTATTCAGGAATTGGAAGAAAGAGTTGAACTCAAAGTTTGTCGACAAAGGAAAGACTCTAGAATTCATCAGTCGATATGAGAAGATAAGAGATCACCGTCCTGCATTTGTGGCCTACAAGAAATCGGAGAAGGGTATGAAAAGGTCGCCGACAAACAAGAAAATTCCATAAAGAAGTTGTATCATCATCACACGGGGTCAGGTGGCTACTACAAAGCCCAGCCATTGTGGAACAAAGATGAGCAAGACCTGCTTGCTAAAGGTGTCCAACCAGCGACATTGCACTGTCTAGATCGTTCAAGGAGTTGGTTCTTGGGGGTTGGGGGAACTTTGGATCCAGAAACAGGGAAGTGTCATTCGACGGACGAGCAACTTGCAATACCCATCAAGAAGCTTCAGGCAGCAATCAAGGCAACATAGGAAGGGACATTCATTTCCGACAGAGAGAAGGACGAGCTGACAGAGGTCCTAGGGAATCCTGAGCACCCTGGACGAACACAAGGTACACCAGGCTCCGTTTCGTGGGTGCATGGGTTTCCCGACAGCAGTGGTTATAGAAGCTGAGAGAGAAAGAGGAAAGAGGAAGCAAGCGAAATGCAGAAGCTCAATGCAAGAATAGCAAAGCTAGAGGAACTTGAGAGCCAACAAGCTACCGGCCAACCATCTCAATGGCATGAAGATCCTTGCTTCGATGCAGCCCCGAAAGCTACCCCACCATCTCAGCAGAGAAGCAGCGCGACTTCCATGGAGCTCGTTCACCTGATATCACGTCTCCTCGCTACCCCGTGGATAGTATCACGGAGGTTGAACATTGCGAGCTACTGACGAAATGCCAAAACCAGACCTTGAAGGCGGCCGTCGGCTCTGTTGTACCTCCTCAAGGTGAGGGAACTTTTTATTGCCGTCCGAATCCACATGGCTATGCTGTTGTGACGGTGGATGAAAAAATGGAGGGATTTGAGGAGTTGGAGCTTGACTACCCTATAGGTGAAGTGGAGATTCATCTGGTAAATACTTCATGGAGTAGCTGCCTATGGAGAAAGGAGTACATCAAGCTTCCAAACTAGATGCCTCCTCCTCCTCCTCCTCTGGCGATTCAGGGCACTCCACCTCCTCCTCAGCCACGTCAGGGCACTCCGCCTCGTTAGGGCACTCCGCCTCCAGCGCGCCAGGGCACTCTGCCTCGTCAGGGCACTTCGCCGAGTCAGGGCACTCCACCTCCTCCTCCGGCGCGTCAGGGTAGTACTGCGCCTCCTCCTCCGTCTCCTCCGGCGCGTCAGGGAAGTACCGCGCCTCCTCCTCCGCCTACTTCGGCATGTCAGCGAACTCCGCGCCGTGTTAGCAATGGTGGAAGAGAGACGCCGCCGCTCCGGCGGCTAGCAGTACAAGAGACGGGAAGTAATACAAATTTGGTGCAAGCCCGAAGCCTCTTCCAAAGTTACCTTACAAGAGGACTGAGGAGGAAAACACGGACATCTCTGTTGCCGAAGTGAGGGCCCATTTTGAACGGAAACCTCCACCTCCGAAGGAAACGGTGGATCCGTGAAAGTGAAGAGCACTCTGGATGCCCTGAAGCGACCACCACCGCCTCTGCCGGATCCCAACTATGTCCGCTGTATTAAAAAGACATATGAAGATGCGCGGCGGTCGAGAAGTACTTCCAGTGATGCAAGATTAACAGAACGAAGAAGTGGGAAAACAATTCCCCAACTCGGCGAACAAGCGAAGCAATCGTGCCCCCCGCTCAAGGTGTCTAGCGATATCATCGCTAATCATCCGGGGATGTGCCCGGTACCAATCTTGGTGATTACCTGAGCGATGATGTAGAGTTTGAAATGTTAGAGGTAGTGGATATCTTCAGATACGAGTATCGGAAGCCTCTCGTCAAACCTGATCATCCTCATCTAACAACGATGATGCAAAGATTGCATGAATGGTATATGGATACCTGCAGGAAGTCTGGGAAGGACAGTATGATGGTGAGAATTAAAGATGAGCACGACCTTATTGGAGTTGAGTTGCTGCCTGTTGAATTTGTGGAGTTATTTAAGTTATTAAATCAAGATGCCCTCGACAAACAACTCATGACTTGCTACAGTATGTAAGTATTACTTCTGTAATTAAGTTTCTATAGCTCAGCTCATTCATTGCATGTATATATAATTATCCTCACTATATTATGCAGACTGAAGATCGTCGAATGCAAAAAGGGACAAATCTATGACATTGGGTTCATTAACCCAAATACCATAAATGAATGGTCGGTTAAAAACAGAGTCAAAGATACTATGGAGAACTTGCTACAAGCGTTACTTCGGCATCAAAACAAAGGGAAAATACTCTTTCCTTACAACTTCAAGTGAGTGTTACTGTCTTGTGCATATTCGGTTTCGCTTACTCGAGGTTATAGTAATGTAATTGATGAGTTATGCATGCACATCCCACATTATTCCGCTAGAGATTAAGCTTGACCGGGGAATAGTAAATGTCTTAGACTCAAGACGTAAAGACCCTTAGGATTATGCGGACATGACTGCAATGCTCCAGAAGTAAGTTCAATCAATCATTATCGCACCATGTCGATAACTTTCGTTCATTTGCTGATATCAAGTCATCATTTCCTTTGCCCGGCAAGGTTTGGAAAAAGTTCATGGGAATTCCGGGTCTGCAGAGGGAGCTGCGATTTACACACCCCTAAGTAAGTAGTACTAGCTAGTTCCGCGCATCTCTCATTAATTCTAGTTTCATCAATACCATTTATCATGCTTGATTATCAGTTTGATTGAACTCTATTTCTCGTAAAGTGCTTGTGGCAGGAAGGGGGGGATAATTTATGTGGATACTACATTTGTGAGTTCATGTACAACTCGACCTCTCAGCGGGGCTACTCTGACGAACAATATGAAGTACGTAAACAATATTCACAATTATATTTTATTATCATCAATTGTGTTGAGTTTCTTTCATATATATATATATGTATTGACCCCCTTCTTTAAATTAGATGTGGCAGATGCGTGATGAACTCCTACCACATGATCGCATACGAGCAATTCAAGAGGAATTGGCGGGATTTTTTCTTGACCACGTCATACATAAAGACGGAGAATGCCATGTGGAAATTGAAATGGATTTTAGATGTTAGGGATTGTAAGAGATGTTATATTGTATATATGTAGTAGCGTCAGATAGATATACGAAAAACTTGTTGTTCGACCAATCTCAGAGAAAGAGAGGTCACTTCTCTCTGTATATGTTCATGACGATCTTGTGTAATTAATGGTTCCTTCATTTGCTTGCTAGCTAGCGTGTCGAGTTCTTTCTATATGTATAGTACCTAGCATCGACCAAACACGGAGAAAGAGAGGTCACTTCTCTTTATTAGCTAGCTAACACAATATG